TAAAAAAAAAACTGATCTATTGGCCTATAATGATAATAACCCCTAACCCTAACACAGGTAAGGCGGGGATTAGGTTCAACCATAGTGTAGGCAGGGATTTAGTACCTTGCAATAAAGAAGAGAGGCTTACACCAGAGGCTCTGAAACATTTAGGCAACCTGAACCTGAACCACATGCAACATCATTCTAGGATAATGCTAATTGTAGCATTCAGTATCTCACAAAAGACATACAATTTTCAATACCACAACTGGATGGCAGCATTTACCAGGGTCCAGCATGCTGATATATCCCTTAGTATATTTAAAATAGAAGGGAGATGTTTCATAATTTTCACACACTGTCTGCCTGACTAAGATAAGATACAGTAAGATAAACTTTATTGTCCCTGCAGGGAAATTTATCTTGGCTGTTGTAGCCGATGCAGTGAGTGGATGAAAACAGCAACAAACATCAGCACAGGATGGGAACATCACACCGTTATCATCACACACTATAAAACACTTCATACACTCTCTGTTTGTCAGCGCAAGACACATCGGGCGTGCATATCTTGCTATCTGTCTTTGTCACCGATGATGGATGCAAGTGAAGCCTCTCAGTCGGGAACTTGTGTTTTCTCTGGTGTTTTCAGTGAAAGGTTACACCTCTCCTCTCCGCTGTGCCCTCTGTGGGAATTTAAGACACAGAACGAGAGAGAGAGAGAGAGAGAGACAGATGGGTTTTCCTCGCAGGATATCCTGTTCTAAGTAGAGCTGCTGGGCCCACTCTGACCTCTTCAGCCCTCTTGACCCCTGACCCGCTCATAGTTTAGGCTCACATCTCCAACGTTTCCTAATCGCCCCAAATCTCTTCGTATTCTTGCAGTTTTGTTTTGCTTTGTCTCCTTCCTAACTCCTCTGTCACACTCACAGGTGTCACTTGAATATTCCCTTCTTCCTTTTCCTCTTTGTTCCCTTCTCTGCTCCCACTCAATCTATTGCCAGCCTTCTTCTCCCTCCTCATATCCTCTATATTTCTATTTCTGCGCCATTAGCAATAACCTCTAAAGTTAAAGTAATCATATTTAACTAACAGCCACCACTACAAAACCACAGGCAATACATGCAGCAATAACCATTACATAAAATGCACACTTAGTCAGGAACCTATATGCTGTCATTTAATTTAAAGACTAGTCATAAAGTCTAGTTCTTCTGAAAAGAAAAGAAAATCTTAATGGTTTTAGTTGTACTAAACAAAACATTACTTTTTGTGGCATTTTTCACTATTTTCTGATGTTTTATAGACTAAACAAGTCTAATAAAATAATAATCGATTTTGAAAATAATTCTTAGCAGCAGCCCTGTTTCCAGTGCTTCCAGGTTGATTTGATTTTCATGAAAGCCCTGAAATTCTTGGAATAAGGTGGGGCACTGGTATTTGAAGGCAAATTAAAGCACACTGTATTGGAAACTATGCAAACTCTCATCCTGTTAATTTGCTTAAACAAAAACAAAAATATTTGCCAACGTCTTCGCCTTTTGGCAATGGGTAACTAATGTACCAAGACCTATGTATATGCTGCAAGACCAGTCTGGCCTAAACGACTTTAGTCAGTTCATTGACCTGAAGTGTAGATCATCACTGTGAAGTGTAGATCATCACATCACACTCACAGGAATTATGTATATGCTATGAACTTTAATTGTATTGTACGGTTGGTCAGTGACTATTTTCACCCGTTTTGATCTGTTTTCTTGTCACTGACTCCTCTTCTACCATACAAGATGTTCCTTTATTGATCCCACATAGGGGAAATTCAAATTTGGTACAGCAGCACAGTGGACATTTTGTGCAAAGAGATAGATACAAATCTAATATATAAAACATATATACACTATATACAATAAAGTGGAGTATGGTACAGATGGATAACTGGATGGATACCTGTACATGTGCAATGTTTCAAGGTATTGTTAAAAAAACAGAGGTTAGAGGTCAAACTGATGTAGAAGCCACAGGCTTGAAAAAGACTGGAAACGAATTGTGTTCAGAAAACTAATTGTCCTTGTTCTCATCGTCTCAAAGTTCCCGCTTTTTTAGGTTTCTTTTCTAAATCCCTCTATTTTAAACACTGATCCATCCACTTGTTTTTCTGAACATGCTGGAGTTCGTGTGCGTCATGTGCTGAAATCGAACACCCTTCTAATACTATCTTGGAAGAAGTGAACGAAAATCTGTCAATGAACTTGAAATCATTTGTTGGAAACATTTCCCTGAATAATGTGCAATTTTTCTCTGTCCTTCTGGAGTGTTCTGCCTTGTTTTAAATGTTTTGTTTCCTGAACACATTTATAACAGCAGATTTGTCAAAGAAGGGATGATGTCACTGCTTTGGCCCTAAAAAAATAGAAAATCGCACACAAGGAAACCACCACCACAATTATAAAAATCTTAATTTGACTACAAATGGGAGTAAGGCTCTCACTTAGAAATAAAATCCATCAGGTAGCGTTTCGTGCCCTCAGACGCCCTATTCTTTGTCTTCCCCCACTTTCTCTTTATGTCAGCCTCCCTCCCTCCCTCTTTCTCTCTCACTCACACCCAGCCCTCCCACCCTGCAGTATAACTGGAATCCATTAGCTGATGAATGGTTGTTTGTGTTTTTTTAAGCTCGACAGCGCCACCCCGCCTGCATGGCCAAAGAGGGAGATAGCAAAACATTTGCTGTGATTAGAGGAATAATTAGCCAATCATCCCCTGACCTGCAAGCCAACCCTGAGGTCAAACAGACACAGAGTGGGCGGCTTCCCAGGTGGTTTCCCATGAAAACCATCAGGCAGGAAAATATATAGTGGAGTCATTGTCTGCGGGACAGGTGACACACACAGAACACATGCATTTCTATGTCTATATGCCAACTTCACTGCATGTTGGAGTGTGTGCAGTTTGCATTTGAGTGTGTGTGCATCAGGATCCCAGCGGACCTAGCGCAAAGTTTGCCCGGAGAGGCTGTGTTGGAAATCAACACTTCCTGCTTCCTGTGGCGAGAGGAAGTGCTACCGTCGCTGTCCCCTTATCGCTGGATACACAGGCAGCGCGGAGGGAGGAAGGCAGGGAGGGAAGGGGAAGAGGAGAAGGAGACGGAGAGTGGTCAAGCAGGCCAGACAAAGGGAGAGCACAAGGGAGGCAGATATGGCTGTGTCCATAAGTTGTTTTGTGTGTGGGTTTTTTTTGGTTTCTGGCAGTAAATGATAATAGAAGGAGGATAATGGGGAGGAGAACCTGTGTAAAATGTATTCTTGTAGTGCATTTGCAATGATTATGTAAAGATTTAGATTTTTTCGGCTCTTTAACTGCTTGGTTAACTTCACCTCTCACTCTGGTAGACCACAATAGCATTTGGCTACAGCTTGCTATATTAGCCACTGAGCTGCAAGAAAACATAGCATTTGACATGCATTAAAGCCTACAGCTTATAACATATAGGTCTACATCTTAGCATTTCATGCAAACCATGATACAAATCATCCAGAACTTTATTCTGTGTGTGACACCAGCAACACACAGAAACACACATGTCAGTAGGAATGTGGGAGATCAAAAAAAGCAGCTAAGGCGAGACTATTTATAGTTTAAATTACACAGAAATACAGATTTATCTTGCATTACGTTGCAGGCCATAATATACTACAAATATTATATAAAAATATAGTGGACACTGAAAAGAAGAGCGTCCCCATACTCGATACAAATGAGCTGCAGGCAAGGAGAGATGAGGAAAGACAGTGACAAAGATTGTAAGGAAAAGAAAATAAAGAAAGGCAGTAAGAAGAATGAGAGCATGCAGCATGTGTCTGTCAAAAGAAAATATGCAGCAAGTTGAATGCTTTTTGCAGGTTGCAACCAAAATGTACCCACATGCACCTCATTGTGAGGAAGCAACAGAGAGACAATGAGAAAGACAGAGGGAGAGAGGGGGGAAAGAGATGTTTGGGATCAGGGTGGGGAAGCTTTCAGCACTTGGGATTGTCCCAGATGGACACAAGCCGCTCCCTCCCTTTATAAACAGCCTCTGGCTTTACCTCTCCTCTCCTCCCCTCTCCTCTCTGTCAATCTCTTCTTCTTTCCTTTAATTCCTGTTGCGGCTCAGCTCCCACTTTGCAGGGATTCTAAGACCCTCAGCAGAAAATATGACACTTTCAGTTTGTTCCTCTTTTCTTCTGACAATTTCATCTGTCCCCCAGCACCAGCACGCCGCCCCCCCCCCCTAAAATCCCTGCCATTTCCAAAGTCAACACACCACTAAATGCCGGGCTGACTCACTTCCACTGTGGGTGGTTCTGTTTCCAATTTTCTCACCACCTCAGCCACCCCACCACCTCAGAAGGAAAGAGAAAACTTTTGTCCAGAAAACAAAAAACAAAAAATAGCCAACCAGACATGCAAAAGACAGAGACATTTTTCCAAGTTTCTTAGTGTTAAAGGGACAAAAGCGTGCATGTAGATGCCCAGGGGAGACATGGGGCAAAACCATGCATGCTTCTCCCCACTTCTTTTGTAGCTCTGAAATGGTTATCGCTGTTTTCCTTCCTTTCTTTCTCTTTGGGAGAGCGTGGGAGCGCCCTCAGAGTGCTGCATAGAAACCACGGGGCTCATAACAACAGGAGGAAGCCGGTAACTTGAGTAACTTGGGCCGGGTGGAGAGGGGGGATAAGGGGAAGAAGTGGGAATGGGGGAGCGGAGCAAAGGAGAAAGACAGGGACAGAGAAGCGTTTTACATCTTTACATGTCTCCATATTTTGGAAATTTGAGCTCACACAAATATGGAAACAAAACCCGCATTTACAAATAACCTGTTGCATTCCAGACAAGCATTTCCCTCATGCACACACACACACACACACACACACACACACACAAAGTGGCATTCTCTCATCCCTCTACAACCCCAAACACACTCTACATGAATATATATATAATATAAGACAACTTTCCCGACCAGAGCGCTGCCTTACCAGTCTGTGGTGTGAACATTCAGCATGAGGAGTGTGTTAGAAAGTCCCGTCAGTCATGTTCACGTACAGTTCAGTCCAGAGAGATCGCGAGTGGTGAGGAGGACACCCAAACTACACACACACACACACAGGCATAGTATCAGTTCCCTCTGTCCAAGTGTTGAGAAAGTGAGGGGCCGCAACAAAAGGCAACAGAGGGAGGGAGGGAGAGATCGAGGTAGAGAGAGAGAGAGAGAGAAGAGGAGAGAGAGAGAGATGAAGAGAGAGAAGAGAGAGAGACAGAGAGACTGAGAGAGAGAGAGACAGAGAGAGAGAGATTAACCCCTCTGAACTGACTGGTGGACACTCTCCCTCCCTCTCATACACACACACACACATACACAGTTGGTTTGCCGTATCACTGACTTCTTGTGTTTTCTCTCAAGTGCCAAGAGGAGGAAGGGAGAACAGTGTGTGTGTGTGTGTGTGTGTGTGTGTATTGTAGTGTGTGTGTGTGTGTGTGTGTGTGTGTGTGTGTCTGTGTATTGTAGTGTGTGTCTGTGTGTATTTTAAGGTAGGAGGGACTGGCTGGCTCAAGTCCAGAGTCAGCCAGCCTGGTAGAAAAAGACAATAGCAGGAAACACTATATCAGGAGGAGGCTAAATACCAGCACAAAAATAATTAACAGACAGTGAAAAACAATGACATGCACTGTGGAAAACACAGCCTGCAGCCTGCAGCCTGCGCCCAACAATGATAGTGGAAACAACGAGCAGAAAGGGCTTTTTTGTTGTTGTTGTTGTTGTTGTTACCACAGGATATAGAAACCCCAAATCCAGAAAGATCTGAGGGCTTAGTGGCGATGAATGTCAGAAATGTTGGTGTTATTTTTGTATGCACAAAAACTTCATCACCATTTCAAATATTTTTTTAGAAATTACACTCATACTCACTGATGCACGATCGCAAGCATGTAGACGCACATTCCCCATGCAATCAGTCAGCCATGACTCCCACACAAATCTCACCACCACCCACACACACACACACATTCCCCCAGCTGTAATCATATCTAGTGATAAGGGCAGCTTCCCCCAGCGGTCGCTGGCTCTCCGGCTCCGACCACAGTGACTTACAATGGCTCTGTATTCTGAGCCCGCTCTGATTACACACACAAGGAGCTGCATTACACCCTGCTAATTCAATTTCCTCCCCCCCGGGTCAACTTTTGTGTGTGTGCGTATGTGTGTGAGTGCATAGGGAGGAACTGATTAAGCAGTTGTTAAAGGAAACAAGCTGCTTGCACAAAAACTGACTGTAATAATCTGTGGGGGGTTGATAGGGTTGTTGATCAATACCATAGCTGTTCAATTCTTGAGATTTCTGCTTATTCTGTGGTGGAAGTAAAACTGGAACGCTGAAACACTGAAAATCAGGTGCTCAGTGGTTCCATTGGCAATCAACTGATGTAGCAACATATTTCTGCTAATGTACAAACTGTATTGTCTGTTTAATTTAAGAATTTAATTTCTCAATACAAAAGCATCAAATTGTGCCATATCAACTTCTGTTGCTTCTGTTGGATCCAATTAGCTCTCTTCCTCCTCTTTACTGGAGAAATCTGGCTTAAGAGTAGGTAAAGTTTTTGACCACTAGTAGTGCTACAGAACAGAAGAAGACAACTAGATTAAACAGGATGCAAAGCAGAGAGGGACCATCAGCTGGAGAAGCCTGCATATCAAATCACCCAGTAATACTGGATTCAACAATGCAAACCAATTAAACGCCTAAACACATTGTAAGTTATTTCCTTCTAAACCATACGAATGAGTGTCCGTTCCTCTCAAAACCGGTTAAAAAAACAGATTCATATGTTTTCTGATCTTACATCTCTATAGTTAAGGTATGGTTACATTCATCCACAAAAATAACATAGTAGCTATTCGGACCAGGAGTGCAGCGATGGTAGACGCTCTGTGAGGTGTCACTTAGGTGCAGTGCTGCTCTGAGGTAAATGCTAACAGCGTGGTAACATGCACACGATGACAAGGCTAACATGCTGATGTTCAGCAGGGATAGTGTTCACCATGCTCACAATCGTGTATTTGCTTGTTAGAATGCTAACAGTTTCTAATTAGCACTTAACACAAAGAACAGCTGGTGTAGTCAAGAAGACCACCTTTGTCGAGTCCAAGTACAGGACTAGGCCAGACCGAGTGCGAAGAGCTTTGAGCCCATGTCAAGACTGAGTGCAAATGAGAGAGACAGAGACACCATATTACACTACTATTCAGCTGTAAATGTCTTTAAAGTTGTAATGCAGTCCACTCTTGCTCAAGTAGGGTGGACATGCCAGACATTCACTGTTGTTGCCAAAAGAGTTTAAAGTCTATAAATATTACTATAACAGTACTATGATACAGTACAGATTTAATTGCAAAGCAGTGAAACGTCTTTTTTTACTTAAATAGAAAAAGACTGAGTATGATTGGGTTTGGTGTTTAAGATTATGACAGATCACTTTGTGTTCAACTGACTGGGCCCTTATTTATGCAAGCTCTCTTGTGACAAGTTAAGTATGGAGGGTATTGAATAGCCATATGAGCTGGGAATGAAAACCATCTAACAACATCTATTTTTTTAATGACATCAACACTTTTAATTTATAGCTTTACAGTCCAGTTGAAAAAAAAAGCACTGAACACTAATTAAAGCTGAACCTTTTTTTCTCTCTGTGGAGGTTTCTCTGACAGCCTCCAAAGAAAATGATGGTTGATGAGTCAAAATCACTAACATCGGGCTGGAGATGCAGAATGCAGGGCTACATTAGTTTATATGATGAGAATCAGTTGTTGGTCTGACTTTGTTCCCCTCCCAGGTTTCTTAAACTGGGGTTACGGACCCAAAACAGGTTGCAGGCCTGCTTCTGGCACGTCCCACCAGAACACAAGCTAGAAAAATGTAATCCTGGGTCTCACAGTAAGACACTCAAGTCTCATTTGGATCCCGGGGATGAAATATTTTAATAAAAATCCCTGATTTCATTTAAAACAATAGGTCAGATCTGCAGGCTTTTCCGCTGATTCTGTGTAGTGCAGGCTGATGAAGCGGCTGGCTCGCTGCAGGTTGTTTATCAGACTCCTTCAACACATCTGAGTCTCATTTTGGCCAAATAAAACAATGCCGTGCATCACTGTCAAATGCATGGCAAACATAAGGAGTGTGTGTGTCCACGTGCATGCATGTGAATATGAGTGTGTGTATTAAAAAAGAGAATAAAAGTGTGTGTGTCTCCAAAAGCTGAGAATGTGTTTGTCATTAAAATGACTGAATACAAGGGCGAGGTCCCTCTGGAGGGGTGGGTAGCAACATATCTATACGCACTCACACGGATTTGCACTTTTAGCTAATGTTACTTTCCAGTTCCTCTTGCTGAAAGACGTTAGATGTCACTTTTGCCAACGTCACTATCCGGAATCAAACCAGCAACGCCTCTGACCTCCGTGCAACCTCAACACACCACAGACACAATAATCTTTGTCCTTACCACACACAAAAAACCGTCACAGACCTTTTCTGTCAGTCTCTCTGACTAAACTCCTGTTCACACTTGTCTCTCACTCACACACACGGAAAGATGACTCCAGATGTGGGTGTGATGCTTGTACGCAGTGATTAGCGAGTGAGTGCGCTGCTGTGTTGTGTGTTTCCACCTCCCTTCCTCTGTTTTGGTTACCAGTCTTGTCTGCTAAGCCTCACTAATAAGTCCTACTGTCAGGAAAAGAAACACAAGATACAGACGCCCCAATCGTTCAGAACAATTCACACACAATGGGCCGTCTTGTCAATCACAGAATTCCCCACACACCATAATGCCCTTTATACAGTAATTCACTACATGTACACACATTTTTCATAGTAACAAGAGTGTCTGATCATTTAAGTCACAGATGAGCTGCTGCTCTGGATACAGGTTGACAATGAGACTCCAGTAAATCAAATCAGATACAATAAGAAATGTATGTTCACACTCACCAGCTAAAGACAATAGGGCAGTGTATTGGCAAGAATTTGGCAATATGATATGCATCACAACACAGGGGTTACGATTCATTATATTGTAATACTATAAAGAAGGCAATACACTGCAATTTTTAAATCTAATTTTAGAAAAAAATAAAAGAACACACCATCATATTCATAAAATCTGATTCAAAGAAAGTTTACTTTTCACACTTCAGCCTCGGTCAGTCAGTCATGTAGAGCTGCTGAAAACTGTGGACTTGCATGTGTTGATGTATTTAAAAATGTTCTGGGAAAATGACCAAATATAATTTGGCTCACTGGTCAAAACCCAAAATTTGGGCTAGGGCTTAATTTTTGACAGAAATTTATCATTTTATCAAATTGAAACATGTGAAGTCTAAATGTCTATCTCTTCTGACGCTCCAGCATCCAAACCCCAATTAGCTGATTTAGGTTCCTCACAGCTGATAACCATGTTGGCAGAAAACAACTAATTCTGAGAGAGCAAAGTGATGCTGAATGCAGAAAAATCATGAATACAAGAATATGACATATCGGAGACTGAAAACAGGCCATCGCTCTGCAAATATCAGCCTGGTGTAATTTATTTATTATATGTCACATAGGTAAAGTAATTAACATACTGACGTAACTGATGTACTGTACTTTACTGTAATGTACTTATTTATAACATAAATGTTAAAATCATGTTCAGTTTCCTTAATGGAGCATGATATTTGCATCTTTACTACAACAAGCCCTGTGCTTTACTGCCTTATTTTAAGTTATATTCTAGCTTGTTTTTCAGATAATATTGACTGTAACTAAAAATACATGATTCCCTTCAGTCTCCATACTGCTCCAACAACCTCTAGCATTAAGTTAAGGCAGGCTGTGTTTAGTCTGTGAGTTGAAACCCAGGGCAAAAAAAGTCCAGCAGTCGCAGCTGCTTGTTTTGTTGCAGACCAAAATCCGCCTGGTGAAACTGACTCGCGTGGTGTGGCCAAAAGCAGGAGGGGACAGCCAAGAAATAGCGTGTGCTTTGAACACATGTTAATAACTGAAGGTGATTCAGATAATAATATCAACATTTGTATCCCTATTCGTTAACCACTCTCTTATCTGCAGTTCCCTTTAGCTCTATGAAGCTTTCAACCTCGTTTACCTTCTTGTTTTGGTTTTCTGGCCTGCAAACCAGCTAATAAACT